ATAGACTTGTTTTGGAAATTTCCATCTCTGAGCAATTGAGATTGAGGTGTGATTTTGAAACAGAAAAGTTTGAGCAGAARAGGTTTAAACGGGGTTCACTCAGGTGAGTAGAGTGCCTTGGTTTTCCATTGCATTTCTAACTGGAAACTCTCCCATGGCTTTACCAACTCAGTGTCTATCTGTATTTAAATAAAGGGCGCAGTGTGTATATGTTCGATCATGGAGGTTGATAATGGAGTTCTTGCTGGACARGTGTGTAAGCTATGGACTGTGCTAGGTTGTTTGTAAGGACTTGTGATATCAGAAAAACCTTAAAATGTGCTACCAGTTCATCTTTGGAAAAACCCACCAATAATCTAGCTACAAAGTCAAGTTTATTTGGGTTCAACTCATTACTTTTCCAACTTTTCCTATTAGTAGATAGAGACACTGGCAAACGGAAAGCTACTGGGCTGTGCCGGGGCCGCGCCCACATTGATATTTCACGGCTGCATGTTGAGTCTGGTCAGAGTTCCAAGTGGGGCTCAGGCCAAGATAGTGTGGCAAAGTCCACAGAGAGGAGAAATAGACCAGGGCAGCGGTTTTGCATTATGTTCCTTCAGGTGTCCCAGGTGGCCCTTGTGTGGCAGGGGTACCTGCTTAAGGAAGCTGGCTGTAGAAGAAGAGTCAGAGTAGCAAGTCAGCGTTCCATTTTCCACGTTGGGGGCTAACACTTTGGTCCCTAACTTTGCCTCTTTTCCTCCTGTGTAGTGGAAAGACCTCAGGGACAGGATTCCAGGGCCTGGTGCACACAGTACTAAAAGGGGTTTCAAGGGGTCAATGGAACTTTAGATGTTAGCTTCCCCCATACCACAAACAGTCCACCACACCAGCTGCCTGAGGACTGCCTGTGATGGGGAACTCGTCAGCAGAGAAGGTCACTAGCTGTGTCTAATAAGGCCCTTCTGCGCAAAGGGTATTTCTATCCATCTTTTCCCTTATATCACTGGTGGAAAAGAGATTCTAATGTTTCCTGACACTCACAGAAACGTGTCCTTGTGCTTGTAGAGAGGGAGACGACACAGTGCATATTTCAGTCTTCCTGGAATATTTCTTAGGATGTTCTCCAGCCCAAGGCACATTTCTAGGTAGTCAGCAAAAACCTCTCTGACTACTGAGAAGAGAGGCTGAGCTCTTGGAGGATATGGGGTGGGGTTCATGGAAGGGGCTGCTAAGCGGGGCTTGGGTCTGTTCAGAAAGTCTCTTCCAGTGAACTTAGACTGGGACTGGAGCCCTCTCCCTCCGCACAGGCTTCAGATGCCAGAGTGCCACATGCAGTTTATTTACTCTTGTCCAAGACTTGGCTAGTTTCAGTGAAGTGGTTAATATTTAATGTGCCTTCGGATGGGTGGCTCTGATTATAGGCTGTGCATATTTCCCAGCCCATTCCCCCCTCCTCTTAAGTCCCCCAAAGAGGTCAAGGGTGAAAAGACACTACACTCTCACCTTGACTGCTGTGCTTGTTTCTCAGGTTTCTTATCTGGCAGAAATACCTCCAGTTTCGATGGCTACCCTGATATAGCCCTCAAGTTTCAAGGTTATGGAGTTGGTAGAAGGAAATGCTGTATGTGGGTTGGGCAAAGCCAGTGAGGGGTGACAGAAAGATGGGAAGAATACTGCTCAAACTCTTTGGGTCAGAAAGCTCGGTATAGAGATGAGGTGTCAGCACTTGTGGGCTCACCCAGCTTGGTTTCAAGTTCACATCATCTCTGCAGAGATTGATTAATACGGTGCCCGATGACATGATCTTCCCTGGCATTTAGCGTCATTTCTTTGCACATCCCCCTGCCCACCCCCACCCCCTGAAGAATGTAGGTATGGGTGAGTGCTCTCTGAACCTGGACAGTCATTAATGGTGGATGACTGGGATGACTGAACTTCATCCACATGATTTCTCACATGCCTGTTTCTTTGAGGTTCTAACCTCACGAAAAAACCCTCCCTGTACTGGAGATTAAACTCAGGGGCTGAGCTACATCCCCAGCCTTTTAAAATATATTTTATTTTGAGACAGGGTCTCACGAAATTTCTCAGGGACTGGCTTTGACTTGCAGTTCCCTTGCCTCAGCCTTCTGAGTCTCTAGGATTGCAGGAGTGTGCCACCACACCCATCTAGTGTCATTTCTTTACTCCGGAAATATATAGGTCAATAAACTGTCCTGGAAATATAGGTCTGATCTGAACCAGAAAATGCACGGGGTTTAAGATATGAAATAAATGAAGAGGATGCCAATCCTGTCTTTAGTAACAGTCAGGAGTGATCAATGACCCCTCTTTAGGTGCAAACCCTCTGGCAACTTGGCTGTCCCTGAGAGCCCTTTGGAGGGGCCCAGATCCATAGCTGTCCTGAATATGTAGCTCTGGGTTTTTTATCATTTTTCTTGGTAAGAGATAGTGGGAGGAGCCCCAGGTTTCACACCTGTGAAATGAAGAAAATGTCACCAACTGTCTCAGTTACCAGGTTATTCTGAAGGTCTAATGAGCACATCTGGGAGCACTTTGGAGTAGCGTCCCAAGTTCTTGCTGAGCAAGACTATTCCTACTCTTCAGGGTCTGCAGTGTGAGCGCGAAAGGCCTCCCTGGGAAGAAGGAAACCTGGTGACCCACTGCAAAGCCTGAAGCATACTTGGGAGATCAAGGGTAACAATTTTCTCTGAAAGTAAGAGGCAGCATCTGCTCACTCATTCAGAGAGAAAATTACATTAATTATAGTGAATCACCTTAAATATTTATTGCCCCAATTTTACATATAAGAAAACTGAAGCTCCAAACCAGACCCTTGGATCAACACTGACTTCTTAAAAACAATGCTTTTGTCTTATTCTGTTTTATACCCCCACTGCCTATTAGGTGCTCATAAATATTAATTTAACTGAAAACATTGCCCAAATTCCACTAAGCCATATATTCTCTGTGATATAAAATATTCAAGAACAATTTTACAGGAGTAGATTAGAAGCCAAGGAGAAACCTCTCAACGGCTCAACCCAACAGACACCAGGACAGATGGCAAGCATTTTTTGAGTGCCTCCTGTGTGCCTAAAGCATATGAGAKATGGGTTCCCTTTGCTGTAACAGCCTCAACCCTGAAGAATGTAGGTATGGGTGAGTGCTCTCTGAACCTGGACAGTCATTAATGGTGTGTGGCTGGGATGACTGAACTTCATCCACATGATTTCTCACATGCCTTTTTCTTTGAGGTTCTAACCTCACGAAGAAACCCTAAAAGTCATCTCTACCAATGTTGATTTATCACTGGGTTTCCTGGGTATCTCTGACTCTCTGTTCCCCTCCTTATCTTCTGAGAGACTATGGACCTTTATGAACCCCTGGTGTCTGGCTCTTTGGGGATCTTCCCTCTTCTTTCTACAGTGTTCTGTCCTTCCCTCCCTCCCTTCCAAGAGTAGCTCCATGCAGCCTTATACTTGCCAGCTCTCACGGGTTAGAAGGCTGATTCACCCAACCCTGCCCAAACCTCACACTGGCACTGGAAGCTACTACTGGTAGAAGTCAAAGGGATATCTGCCTGGCTTCCAAATCCTGAGTCCTCACATCTCCTAGAGAATACATTTTTCTAAGGTGCTTTATCTAGTATCTTGGGAAAAGTAGAAGAGGTCATTAAAATAGAGCATGGTTTTATGGGCAAAATATGGATTCTGAATTGGATAAACTTTATTGTAATTCTAAGTTCTCCCCCAACTTCTTGTTTGACCTTGAAACTCTTCTTTGATCACAGTTGTTTTAGAATTTAATTTAACAAGAGAGTCACCCTTGGCCTGCCCGATTCTATTTCCCACAAGCACTGACTTCAGTAGGAAAACAAAACAGTGGGACTTTTAGTAGGAAAACAACACTGACTTCCTTTGATACTACTATTGTCACCATAAACCTGAAATTTTTTCCCCTAAGGAGCTGAAGTCAAGATGAAGCTATATAGAACTTTTCTCTTGTTCCTCTGACAGCTAGGGAATTTTATTGGGAATATATACAATGATGGAGGAGGAGATGCACAGGTGGGAAATTAGGTTTGTGCCAATCACCGCAGGTGCCAAGCTCATGTCTCAGAGGCTAGAGAGATGATGATAGCCATCATAGCGGTGGCTGTGATGACGCTAATGAAGTTGACCTTGACAGCAGTTGACAGCAGGCCCTGCAATGCACAAAATGTTTTACAGGGAGTTTTTCATTACATTATATTCTCAAAGTGACTAAAAAGCAAGTTCAATTAAGGGCTCTGGTTTTTTTCTCTCAAGTCTATTGTCTACATTTAAGCAGAATCCTTCTTTTCTAAGTTCTTACTTCCCTTGTTTCACTTTAGTTTGGTCCTAGATGTATCTTGCCTTTTTCTTATTACAAGAACAATAGTAGTTATTTATTTTATTCATTAAGTGTTTGAGTATTTACTACCAACTAAACTGTGCTCTTCTCACATTTAATCCTTATGTTATTCAATGAGGAAAATTAGACTCAAAGAGTAATTTGCTTCAGGTAAAATAACTCTAAATGGCTCAATTGGAATTTGAACCCAGGCCCAACTACCTCCACAGCCCCGATTAAACCTTGTAATAACTTATTGTTTATATTAAAGACAATGTAGATGAAGCTCCCTGATTAGGAGGAAAATGGTAACTAAGAGAAGTGATAGAAGCTGCTTTCTGACTAGACTGCCTCTCTACCACCTAAGTCTGTCCCTGTGCATGTTTTTGAGCCAGGCAGGCCCCACGTCTTTCTATGCAGGCTGCGGGCGTGGAGGCACGCCCTCCAAGGCCCCCTTCCTGTCCTCTGCTTGCTTGATGTCTTCACAGCCATGCTGCCCTGGGGCCTGGGCAGAGCCTCGCAGAAGCCTTGGCTCACAGTGGCTTTGATTCTTCTCTTTTCAGGCCCAGCTTGGGACATTCTTCGCTTCTCTTCGCTTCCCCTCTGGGAGTCCCTTTCACCATCCCTGCACCTTGCTTCGGGCGATGCCCGAGAGGGAGCTGTGGCCAGCAAGGCCTGGCTCGGAACCCGTGACCTGCATCCGCAGCTGCGACAGCATGATGAGCGCCACCTCCACCCGCTCGGGATCTGTATGTACTCTCCCGTCTGCTGGCTGGCCCGCTCTCTGCACCCCTGCTCSTCCCTGCCCATCCTTCCCTGCCACCCTCATTGCTCCGCACCTTCTCTTTCATCTTCCTTGTCAGCGAGTGAATCACTACATTGCTGGGTGCTTTCTGCCTGAGTCACCCTTGGTTCTATAGAACGCAGGGTGGGACAGCCTCAGAGAATGATAGGATCAATGAGAACCCCGTCCAGTCCCCAGCTTTCATTAGGTTGAGGAGTTCAACGGAGGAGTTCCTAGCAGGCCTAGGAACCAAGGTCATGGTGGAAACTAGAACACAGATCCTTGCAGCACATGGGTTCATGAAGTGGTCTGCAACAAAGGGCATTACTTCAGTCTTCTAGGAAGGTCGAAAAGAGTGGAGGGCTGGGGCTGCAGCTCAGAGGCAGGGCCTTTGCCTAGCATGTGTGGGGCGCTGGGTTCAATCCTCAGCACTACACAAAAATAAACAAATAAGATGAGGGCATTCAGTCCATCTACAACTACAAAAAAGTTTTTAAAAATCTTTAAAAAAAAAAAAAAAGAATGGAGTAATTGGGAGTCTTAAGTTTTATAGCCAGAGCGATCTGGGTTCTCTAGTTAAGTGACCTCAAGCAAATTACTTAATTTTCCTAAGCCCCAGTCTCCTCAGTTTTAAAATGGGAATAATATTAACACCTAACTCACTGGAGTCTTAGAGGAAGTAAATGAGCATTTAGCATTTAGCACTTGTCTCTGTGTAGAAAAGCCCATCTAGGAGAAAGTGAGACACTTTGAAAATCACCGTTCAGCTATTTGTGAGTGACATGTAACAAATTATAATTTGGGGAAGCATGAATTTAAATCTCAGTTGTAAGGCTTGTGTGAAGGTGTCCATCTGCCCTACATCCAAATATAAGCATCCCTTTCTTGTTCATTGTCACCTGCATAATAACCCAGAGAATTTAGATTGTATTGCTTCATATTTTATAGAGGTCTTGAAAATGTAAAGATCATAAGGATCTCTACAGAATGTCAAGGATGTTTAATATAGTTAATATAGTTAATGGGTTTTAATATGTAAAATGGAGCAGATAAAGCAACACAAAGACACACACACACAATGCAAACAACCTATGCAAGATTTTTTTGTGATCCCAGAGGATGGGGACAGGGAGATATCATCCCGTTCCTGATAGACTGAAGCCAGTATGAGTAGTTGTCACATTCCATTGGACACAGAATGTGACAGGGATTCCAGGTTTTCAGAGTGAATCACCCACAAAGGAGAAATTAAGAGTTGGCTTATCCCGGCAAGGCTATTTTAGAAGAAAAAGACAGTAAAGAAGATCTTTGTTCCAGTAACTTCAAGGGCTATATTTGGGGCTTCCCTTGACATGGAGGCCCCAGACGGTCATCAGACAGATGACTTTAAGGGCAGAGGCAACTGGAAGCTTTATTTAATCATCCTGTCTTCCCTGCAGGATATTCTTAGGATTTTAAGATTCTTAAAATCTTCCTTGGCCTCTGAGGGGATCTGAGAAAATACAACTCTTTTGTCCCAAATTTTGTCCCCAATTCCGGGAGGACAGATGGAGAGGCCAAGAAAAGTCTTAGGACATTTCCACTTGTCCTTTTGGTTTTTCCTTCAACCTCCTTGTTTGAAGAGCAACTAGTTCATCAAACTTCCTGGTTTACTACAGCATGGGCAGAACCATCAGGGATGGCATAGTATCATCCTCCAAATATCCCTATGTGCTTTCTCACAACATAAATGATCCATTTTATGTCTATTTAGTTGTTTTCCCTTCCTACCTAATCAACCAGTTTCTCCACCCTCCCTGCTTAAGTTAATATTTGGTTAAGAACTGCATACTTATTTGAATATTAGCCAGAGCCAAATGCCATTAAGAAAGTAAATTTATAAGGGGGAAAGAATCCAGCATGGAACATATTTCAAAGTCAAGTATAAAGTATTTAGTAAGCTTATCTGTGGCTAGTCATGCCACTCTTCCCATTGGCCTGGCAGCCAGTACTTGGCTKCATTTCCTGTTTGTCTTCATATTGTCCTTGACATACCAGATCAAGTATGCAGAAGTATTTTAAAAAGTTAAAAGTAATACCATTCGAGTTTCAGGTCAAATCATTTCGTTGTGCATATAATCTAGAGTTAAATCAGAGAAACTGAAATACTTGACAAAGGTCACACAGAATTGAAATCAGAACTTGAACTGCTTCTGATCTGTGTCCAGAAGCATTCCACCCAGGACCAAGCAAAAGAAAGCACCCTTGCCATCAGCCTGCCCAGCCACCAGATCTGGGTGCTGCAGGGGCCCCAGCCCGGCAATGTCTGTCCTCCCTGGTGCCTGCAAATGTAGGAAACAACTCCATTGAGTTTGCAGAGTTGCACCAGCCACCAGCGAGAGGATCTAGCTCCTCAGCCTTCTTTCCCCACAACAGGGTGGTTCTCAGGCCCCACCAGTTTCTCCAGAGATAGCTCCCTCTCACACTCCCTCTCCCCTTCTGCAGAGTGACAGTAGCTACGACTTCCTGTCCGCGGAAGAGAAAGAGTGTCTGCTATTCCTGGAGGAGACCATTGGCTCATTGGACACTGAGGCCGACAGCGCACTCTCCACGGAGGAGTCTGAGCCAGCCACAACGCCCCGAGGTTTCCGAACACTGCCTGTCATACAGCCGGTTCCCCAGAGTAAGCCCATCCAACTGAGGGGGCACTTGTACCAACACCCAGAGAATCAGTGCCTCTTGGTCACTTCCCAGCTCCTCTGGCCTCTGTTCACAGGCAGAAGGATCTCTGCACTTCTCACCACTCTCTTGGCCAGAATAAAGCCTTGTCCCTAGAGGGAAGGAGGGACTGCTGACAAGCCAGTCCTTTATGTCTTTCTGTGAAGTAGCAGAGGCTGGGAGGGGAAGGGGTTTGGCTAGCTACTGTCCTATTGTGGCAAAATTCTAAAGAGATATGACCCCCAGGTGGAGGAGGGAATTCAGGGAAGGCTGGGTGGTTGGCTCTAGCCAGACCGAGTCATTCCAGGGAGCTAATCTGGAGGACCCAGAGGACAGGGCCGCAGGAGATAAGAAGAGGGAAGGACTCCCCCGCTGCAGTGGGTGGTACCTAGAGGCCCTTCTTGAAGAGGGCGGCATTCAGGCTCAGTAGAAGAGGACAGGACAGGAAGGCACATAAGCATGGGTCATATGTCCCAGAGTTTAGGGAGGACTTTACTCTCAATGACAGTCCCATTGGCTTCAGGGTTACAATTATTTATTAATTTATTTATCGCATATTTATCGACAGTGTGTTACACCCTCCCTATAGATAGAGTAATTAATGGGCTGTGCCCCTTGCAGCACCTGAGGCACCTGCTGAGCGTGCAAGAAGGAAAGAGGTCATGTCACTCTGGTGCAGGACACTGTGCTATTATAGAATTGGCCAGGGGCTCATAGCAGGTGAAAGCAGAAGATAGACTGGTCAGATCCAGAGCAAATCACTTGTTCGAATATTTCCACTGGGCTCAGTTGCCCAGGAGTCCCAAGATGACTAGAGGGAACAACTCTAAATCCAACCCTGATCTTGAGGCCTTTGAAGAAGGTTGGAGGAGCCTGAGTAAAGTATGTAGGGCAATCAGGGGTCAGTCTCTCCCCAGCCATCATGAAAAAATAATCCTCAGTCACAAGGAATCTGCCGTTATTGGTCTATTAGACTAGATGATCTCCAGACAAGAGTGGTACCCTTTAAAAGCAAAAAAATAAAAAACGAAACCCATGCCTTGCTTAGTTGGAGAGCAGAGTTCAAGTATTTGTTTTCCCCTCTGCAGCAGGGTTCTCACCCCTTTCCACTCTCTACCTGTTCTCCCTGACCCTCGCAGGAAACTCAGAGAAGACAATCATTCAGCAAGGACCAGAGCCAAGGAAGGTGACTCATTCCTCCTCATTCCGTCCCCCTGAGCCTCACAGCTTGAGCTTCAAGTCTGGCTCCTACAGCCTCCCCAGAAATATCCACATTGGCGGAAACCAGAACCTCAGGAAAAGCACCACCCAGACTAACAGCCACTTCCCTGGAGAATCTGAGGGACTCATAGCTAAACCTGAGAAAAAGCCAGCCAGCCAGAGCAGGGAGCCGGGCCAGGCACCAGCTAATCCTCTGGGGACTGCCCTTGACCTGGACGTGGTACTCATCCCCCCACCTGCGGCTTTCCAGGACGCCCAGCCAGAGCAGGGTAGGAAAGACAGCCTGCCCAAGGGGCCAGGAGAGCCAAGGCCCCAACTCCACCCACCATTCAGCCCCCTGGAGAGAGTGGAGGGGGATTCAGAGGCCATGTCCCACCCAGCCAGTGGGAAAGGCTCCACCGGGGCCTCAGGAAAGCCACAGCCTCCTCCTGCTGAGTTGTCTTGGAATGCCAGAGCTGAAGATGCTTCCCTCCCACCAGGGGCCGATCCAAATCCCAGAATGGCTCCCCTCACAGCCCCGAAACCCCGGAAGCTGCCACCCAACATTGTTCTGAAGAGCAGCCGAAGCAGCTTCCACAGCGATCCCCAGAACAGGCTGTCCCGACACCATGAGGCTGGAGAATCTGGCCTGGTGTCCTCTTCACTGCAGGACCAAAGGAAAGCACGCAGAGAAGCACTGGAGAAGCTGGGGCTACCCCAGGACCCAGAGGAGCCCAGCCTCCCTTTGAGTAGGCCCACCAGCTCCATCAGACTCAAGGAGGCTCAGGGCCAGGGTCCTTCCCCAGCCCCAGCTCCAGCTCAGCCATCGGCTCCAGCTCCCATAGCTGCAATTGTTCTTGCTGCAGAGAAGATTCCAGCTCAGGGACCTTCCCCAATGAAGCCTCCAGCATCAGCTCTAGCTCAGGGGCCCTATCCAGGCAAGACTTGGATTCCCGCCCAGGAACCCTCTCTTGGGAAAGTTGCAGCTACCAAATCTACACCAATCCCTATCCCTAAGGCCCCAAAGGCGAATAGTGGCTTAACTCAGCCAAAGCCAGACTCAGGACTGACTCTCCAGGAGAGCAACATCCCTGGCCTGAGACAGATGAACTTCAAGTCCAACACTCTGGAGCGTTCGGGTGTGGGACTGAGCAGCTACCTCTCTGCTGAGAAAGACCCGAGTCCCAAAACCAGCACTTCCCTGGGAAAGGGTTCCTTCTTGGACAAGATCTCACCCAGTGTCTTGCGTAATTCTCGGCCCCGCCCTGCCTCCCTGGGCACTGGGAAGGACTTTGCAGGTATCCAGGTGGGCAAGCTGGCTGACCTGGATCAGGGCCAGAGCTCCAAGCGGCTGTCCTACCAAGGACAGAGCCGTGACAAGCTTCCTCGACCCCCTTGTGTCAGTGTCAAGATTTCCCCAAAGGGCGTCTCTGATGAACATAGGAGGGAGGCCTTGAAGAAGCTGGGGCTGCTGAAGGAGTAGGCCACCCGAGCCACCAAGATTAAACCAAGAGGAGAGACGGCGGGCTCCACTTAGGAGCCCTTGTGACCTCACGGCTTAGGGCTGGGGCAGCCATGGGCTCCTCTCACCGGTTCTGTGCTCTTGGAGGCGAATGGGAAGGAGAGACTTTTGTTCAAGCATGTGTTGAATTCAGAGTGGTTGTGCCATTGACCACCTCTACAGAGCATTCTGAAGAAGAAATAGATAAGGGTGGGGGGCATGTGCACGTGTATTTGGGGGAGCTGTACATATCATTGACACTCTTTATGTAACACATAAAGTTCTGCTCTTGTTGAAAATTTTCTTACAATGGAGAAGGGAGGCCAGAAAAGTCAAAAGAGATGACGGATATGCAAGTGATCTGAAAGAAGAGTTACAGTGGGGCTGGGGATATAGCTCAGTTGGCAGAGTGCTTGCCTCGCATGCACAAGGCCCTGGGTTCAATCCCCAGCAGCACCACCACCCCCCAAAAAGAAGAGTTATAATCTACACATAAAGGTTCACATGAATGTGGGCCTCCTAGAATCCTTGCGGGAAATGGAGACTGGTTCATACCTTGCTGGATCCCTCTCTCAGTTCAGGCCTTCTGGACAAGGCCTTGAGCCTAGAGAAGTTGGTTTGTTATCTCTTTACCCACTGCCTTCTTAGTGTCACCCGTCCCACTGGAGGACCCCTCCCTGTGACTAAACCTCTTAGTTCACTGATAGCAGGACAGCTCTTGTCAGTCTTGAAGGCAGGATAAGAGGCCACACACTCATACCTCTGCCCGCACTGGTGTGAGTTCTTGTCGGTGGGCTTGAGAAATTCGATAATAAACTGTGCTGTGGTCCATGATTCTGATATTACGATGCTTCCTGCTCTCTTGCTCTTTATCTCACTCTGCACATGACCGACTAGAGGGCTGGTCAATACTGAGGTGGAAGCCTCCGGCCCAGAGGTTTTATAAATACCACAGAACTATTTCAGACCTATGTTATTGTAGATCATTTTCAAATGTCCACAGTTCCAAGGATAAGAAATCAACACAATACATAGAAAATTGGAGCTGAGAGGAATCTTAGAAGAGCTCCTATCCAACCCTGCTGGGGAAGGGCAGAGACTCATTCATGGTCACTCTGCATTTGGTAAACAGCTGAGTCAAGGATCTGGGGCTCCTGATTCCCGTTCTCTGCTGCCTCCCTTAACCATGCTCTTGTACTTCCACGTACCACCTTAAAAGTCCATAATCACTGTCGAAGCCTGATCCCTAAGGTCCTTCAAGACCCTAGAGTCTTCTGAAGCAACCAGGACTAAATGTTCAGGATATTTAGTGTTGTAGTTTTTATTCCACCTTCAGAAAGTGGTTATATAATAGCTCATTCTTAACCAGAACACCTCTTCCTGCAGATTCTCTGACCAAGCTGTACAATTGAGCAAATGCCAAAAGAGGGTAATATGAGTAGGTGGTGTGGACTTGTGAGTACAAGCTTGATTAGACATGGCCAGACATGACCCTCGCTTCCCCTTAGGAAATACGTCTTATGCCTATGACTCGGTTGGAGTTCAGCATGACCAGGTGTGAGGGGTAGATAAAGGAACTGTTGTTGGAAAGGTGCCCTGCAGCTCTGCTGAGCATTTCTGGCCCGTGTCCTCAAAGACCCATCACTGTCAAACTCAGAATTTCTGAACATGATGAGAAGGTTAGGGAAAGGATAACAGATGGCTCCGCCCTGCCCTGGTATGTGGGGTGTGGGTGTGGCAGTTTCTATGTACACTTCTCACACACACTCACACCCAAAAGCCTGGTGCCTCGTTCCTAGCCCTGAGTGAGGACCCATTCTGTCACTGCTGATGGGGACTCCCACACTAGCCAAGCTATATCTTATTACAGACTCCCATAAGGAGAGATAGCCACCTTCTAGAGAAATGATTGGACATACTGGATTATTTTGAGCTGCTTCGTGTGTAAGTTTCAAGACACGACCTGAGGAATGATAGCTTTCTTCCTTATTCATTAATTACCTTGATTAATAGGGAAACATGAGACTAGCCATCAGCTGAGACTTGGTGGGAATCCAGAGCCCTGGCATCAACACAATGCTAACCCACACTGGTTGGTCAGGACTACCACCTTTTTTAGTTTCCACCCCTGGGAAATGAAACTTCTCTCCCAGACAAAGCAGAGTTACAAACAGCCTGCGCTCTGCCCATCAGCATCCTCATCCTAGTGGTGAGCTGGCTTCCCCAGTTTCATAATCTGAAAGACTCTTACCTGGTCATTTAAGGATACCATGCTCCTCATGTCCTTGTCCTTCAAAAAGTATATTCTGCTTTAAGGATAGTTTTTAGAATTCAGGAATAAAATAATAAATCTAAATGAAGTCATCTCATTTTGAAGAGGAAAAAGGAGACCCAGTGAGGATGGATCTACCTCCCTGAGGGTGATGCTAGACCCACCTGAGGTGATGTTAGACCTGAGGTAATTGGGTCTGTTCTCTTGTGCTCGTATAGGATTTCTCTTCACTCAGCTTGGACTGGTTTGGTGGAAGGTGAGAATGGGTTTTGTTATTTTTTTCAAAGGATTTTGGGAGGAAATTTGTAAAGACCATCAATTTGATATTAAAAGCCAAAGTGATAGCTCTTGACCTTGGATTTCTTGGATTTCTGCTATACAGCACTATAGTCTTGCTGCTATTAGGCAAAAACTATTCTCAGAATAAAGAAGTGACCACTCTTCAGCCTGGTGCAGTGGGATCTGTGTTTTCAGAGGTGCTGTCAGTTGCTCCTCCAAGTCACCACTCCTGTGATAATTTGGGAATTCTGCATTCTGACTCCAGGGTGATGGCAAGGCCGACCTACAGGTCATCTTGCACTGAAGTTGGGACAGGGCCACTCACCTCTTACCTGCCTTCTTCCACAGAGGGAAGTGTGGTCTGGCAGAGTTCATCCTGTAATCTGGAGGGAGCAGGTGTGCAAACATTGCTGATTGTTTCATGGAAGGAAGGGCGGGTGAAAGATAGGAAAGCAGGTCCTAATTGATGTTCTAGGTTTAAGCTGGAGGAGAAGGTTGAAGAGTCTATAGAATGCACAAGTATGTGAGATGAACCCCTCTCTCTTTGGATCCATGATTGCCTATGTCGGCAAAGAAGGATCACACTATGCAAATATGAAACTACATCTCTTAGATTAGTGGAAGTGGAGACCAAGGGGTGAGAAGAAGGAATCCTGTATGTATTTATCAGAACCTAAGAAGGAATACTCTTTTCCTCATGTGAACGACTATAAAGCGTACAACTCTAGACTCAAAGTCAACCTCCATCATGGGCGAATCAGGAGCCCTGGGAGTGATACTTTAACTTTTGAACTTCAGAATTCTCATCTGTGAAATGGAGGAAATACCACTGTTCTTTAAAGATTGTTGGGATGGAAAGGTGATATAAAATATGTCAAGCTCAGTACTTGGCACTTGGCTCCATAATTACAGTACTATCTTCAGGAACTTAGTCTTTCCTTCTCAAAGGGAGCAAACAGAGAGAGGGTTGGAAGCCAAGTATACACCCAATTCTGCTCTGAGAAGAAATAGAAGAGAGCTTGCTGCCTATAAAAGTCCAAAGTAACAACTAGTCTTTGGCACACCCTGCAGGTGACTCAGCTTCACCCACGCCATGTTTCCGGAATTTGAGTCTGATGTTTGCATCTTGGTGAGGATGAGCCCACTGCTTCCGTTTCTGAATTCTCAAACCCAGTTTCCCCTCAATTGTGTCTCATGCTTCTTATGAGCATATAGTTTGGTTCTTCAAGTTTTCCCTAACTTTCTTTTTGCTATGTGGTTCATGGAGCTATATGCTCTTCTAATAGTTATTTATTTTTAGGAAAGAGGGGGGAAACTTACATAACAAGTGGGAACTTTTGCTAAAAGCAGAAAGAGATAGAAACTCTAAAAAAGGTTTCAAGATTCCTGGAGAAATTTTTTTAAAAAAATAGGGTAGACATCTTTCTGGATGAGGCATTATTTATCAGGATGTCAAAGCCCATGGGATGGCCTTTCCACATCCTTCCTGGTGTGGTGACCCTGTGAATTGCTTGAGTCATCACCACCATCACTGACACTTAGCACACCAGTGAGGTAAAAAATGGTGACAGTGTGATTCCAGGCTGTTACTCTCTCTTGCTCATTACCTAGTTGAATCATTGTCCCTGTTCACCACTTGTTCTGGATCCTGAGTTCAAAATTGTATGAAACACAATGGTATCCAGGCAGAGCTGAAGACCAGGTGAACTCTAGTAGATGATTTCATGTCACTCATAAAATGGGGGGGGCTTGGAATGGACTACCTCCTAGATCCATGACATCCCTGGAATATATGTTTCATGAGTCTAAATAAGTCAATTAGGAAGATCAGCACCCTGCCCAAAATAACCACAACCTAAGTCTAAGAAAGCTTAGGTTTTATAATGCAACTCAAGCCCCTATTTAAAGAAAAAAGTGGATGGATGGATGGATGGATGGATGGACSGATGGTGTTATGGTTTGGATGTGAGACAAAAGCTCACATGTGAGACAGTGCAAGAAGGCTCAGAGGAGAAATGATTGGACTGTAAGAGTCTTAACCCAATCAGTGATTTAATCCCCTGATAGGAATTAACTGAGTGGTAACTGAAGTGGTAGGGTGTGGGTGGAGGAGGTGGGAATTGGGGTGTGGCTTTGGATATATATTTGTATCTGGCGAGTGGATGCTCTCTCTGCTTTCTGATTATCATGATGTGAGCTGCTTCCCTCTTCCACACTGTTCTTCCATGATGTTCAGCCTCACCTTAAACCTAGAGGAATGGACTCCACTGTCTATTGATTGAGACTTCTGAAACCGTGAGTCCTTAAACAAACTTTTCCTCCTCTACAGTTGTTCTGGTTGAGTCTTTTGGTTACAGWGGCAAAATAGCTGACTAATTGGATGGATGGGTGGATGGATGGATGGATAGATGGATGGATGGATGGATGGACA